ATGCAAAGCACAAGACTGACACCAGAGCATGTAAACATGTTAATTTTTCTTAACAAAAATCAGCAGTAGAGTTGAAATTCTAATTGGACTTTTTGTGTTTTTGGATGGCTCAGGAATATTACGGAAAAAATTAAACAAAAAAGTGGGTTTCACACATAAGACTGTCTGTTTTTGTTGTTAGTAAAGGCACTTGACAAAGATAATATGTGTGTGTGGTAGATTCATGGTGAACTTGTTAACGGTTAAACGGTTAACTGATACTTTTAAAAATGCTATTTACATCCCTAGAAAGCAGTGACACCGAAGAGGATTTAGGATCATTCTAAATAAGCAACTGAACATGAGCTCCCAGTGTGATGTACCTAAGACGGCAACATGATCCTTGGATGTAGGAGCAGGATGGCAAGTAGAAACAGGGAGACGATATTACCATCCTGTCCAGCATTTAGTGAGACCATTACTGGAATACTCTGTCCAGTTCTGGTGTCTACACTTCAAAAACAATGTTGACATATTGGAAAGGGCTCAGAAAAGAGCTACAAGAATGATGCAAGTTCTGGAAAACCTGCTTTACATTGAGAGACTAAAACTCTGCCTGCTTAGTTTATCCAAGAGAAAAGAGATCTTGATCACAGTCCATAAATAACTACATGGGAAGATTTCTGATAGTAGCAGGTTCTTTACTCTAGCAGACACAAGCATAATAAGATCCAATGGCTGGAAGTCAAAGCTATATAAATTCAGAATAGAAATAAGGCCTACAGAGGAGCATGGGCATATAGACTCCCCTGCCAGGGCCATATGCCACTGATCTTGAGCAACATGTGCAAATGCAGGGCTTTTTGCTGCCACTCCAGACACAGCAGAGGGGCAGCTATTCCCTGCTAGCCCGCGTATCATCCCAACACAGATAATCATACCCTAAGATTTTATTACAGGGATGAGTTGTCCCTTTAGGACTCTGAGAAGGAAACATCTTGGTGAGAGTGTAACTCCCCAATAACCCCACACCACACCTCTCCCTAAACCTGCTGCCAGACTGAAATCACTGCCTTCACTGCAACTGTGTTCTGCTTCCCAAAATACTTGAAATTCCTCTTCCGGATGGGGCTGAATGCAGAAGGGTACAATTAATTGAACATGAAGCCCTCTCCAATCCCCCACTGGCTTCTTTCACTCCCCAGTCTGCCTCCAGTCACCCGCTTCTGCCACATCCTGCCCTTCCCCCACCACCCCAGAGCAGCTATCTGGAGTCTCTTTGGTCCCTCCCGCTACCTGGAGCCTCCTTCGTGCCCCTCTGCTATCCCCCAAAGCAGGATTTCCCCCGAAAGACCATCACACTGCAAGGTGTATCATAGTCAAATAGCTTCACGTCCTGGCTCTGAGCCCAAAAGTACTCACATTCCCTCACACATTCACACCGTTTTGCTGTCCAGATCCCAGGCTATCTCCATTCCTCCCCCGCCCCAATCTCTGCTACTTGGCTCATTTGGCAGGTCGGAGGAATGTCTGGTGGGGGGGGGAGGGAGTGGCGATGTCAGGCGGCTCGGGCCACCCCCGCGCATCCTGTTTTCAGTTTAGGGAAATATGGTCACCCTACACATACTCTGCACTGCTGACAAGTTGCCAGCATTCTGCAGTTATCACCAGGAGGACTACAGTCAAACACCAAACACTCCTTTATAGAAAAATCCTATAGAATGTAATAGAGGATAAAAACCTTTCTAGAGAGTGTTGCAATCAATCTGCTGTATCATACAGCGAGGATATAATTATCTATTGAATCCTACAGGATGGTTTAAGAAGTCTGTACAAAAGATCCTATTCTCTCCTAAACTCTGTAGGCACAATGGCCACACAGAGGAGTAAGGGGATAACCACCTTACTCCCCTTCTTGGGCTAACTACATCACAGGTAGAAGCAAGTGGGGGAGAGAGGGAGGGAAGGGAAAAGCAGCCTCTGCAGAACTGCTAGTCCCCCTCTTGTGCAGATGGGTGGGAAGCAGGGGAGCCAGGGCTCTGTCCCCCAACACACCAGCCAGCATAGCTGAGGTGGCATGCCATGGGAAGTACAGTAGAACCCCATTTATCCAACCCTCCGTTATCTGGCTCTCTGTATTAACCGAACAACTTGCGCACACACAGGAAATTGACCTCACGTCTGTAACCATAGTGTCTTTTCAGCCGTGTAAAACAGTTTGTATATTCTGTTAAGTAGCTAAGAAGACATTCTCATAAACTAGGGGAAACTGTTCCCAGAAAGTTTGTGGATGATACCAAGCTGGGAGGGGTTGGAAGTGCTTTGGAGGATAGGATTAAAATTCAAATAGATCTGGAGAAATGGTCTGAATTAAATAGGATGAAATTCAATAAGGACAAATGCAAAGTACTCCACTTAGGAAGGAACAATCAGTTGCACACATATAAAATGGGAAATGACTGTCTAGGAAGGAGTACAGCAGAAAGGAATCTGCGGGGTCATAGTGGATCACAAGCTAAATGAGTCAACAGCATAACACTGTTGCAAAAAAAAAAAAAAAGCAAACATCATTCTGGGATGTATTAGCAGGGGCGTTGTCAGCAAGACACAAGAAGTAATTCTTCTGCTCTACTCCATGCTGATTCAGCCTCAACTGGAGTGTTGTGTCCAGTGCTGGGCACCACATTTCAGGAAAGATGTGGACAAATTGGAGAAAATCCAGAGAAAAGCAACAAAAATGATCAAAGGTCTAGAAAACATGACCTATGAGGGACGATTGAAAAAAACTGGGTTTGTTTAGTCTGGAGAAGAGACAACTGAAGGGGGACATAACAGTTTTCAAGTACATAAAAGATTGTTACAAGGAGGAGGGAGGTAGATTGTTGTCGTTAACCTCTGAGAATAGGACAAGAAGCAATGGCCTTAAAATGCAGCCACGGCAGTTTAGGTTGGACATTAGGAAAAACTTTAATTGTCAGGGTAGTTAAGCACTGGAATAAATTGCCTAGGGAGGTTCTGGAATCTCTGTCATTGGAGATTTTTAAGAGCAGGTTAGAAAAACACCTGTCAGGGACGGTCTAGTCCTACCATGAGTGCAGGGGACTGGACTAGATGACCTCTCGAGGTCCCTTCCAGTCCTACAATTCTATAAGGCGGGTATGTATGTTTTAATGCTTTTCTGGGCAGGGTCAGCTAGTTTAAAAGCAACTTCATATTTTAAAATAATGGATAAAAAGCTCTTTGCCCATTCTCCTAATTATCTGAATTTTGGATTATCTGATCTGGCCCAGGTCCCAATTAGATCCGATAAACGGGGTTCTACTGTAATTTGTTCCAGACACAGGGTTGGCAGAGATAACTTTTCCCCTGGAGCAAGGGGGAGTCTAAATTCCAATCTGGTTTCCGGTCTGCCCTTGGGACTTCACACAGGTCCAGGGACCCCGGAACCAGAGGTGTCAGGGGGGCCATAGCCCTCCCACTTTTTGAAAGTGGATAGGCCTGGGCCCTCCAATTTTTGCCAGGGCAGACCCTGCTCCCTTCTCCCCGAGGCCCCACTCACAAGGCAGGCCAACATGGAGCCTGGCTGGGGAACTGGGGCAGTTGCGTGTGGATCTTCCATCTGCCCACGGTGTGAGAGCAGCCCCAGGCCTGTGTCCCCACCCCCAGGATCCGCACCGGGCTGTGGAGGTGGAGGGTCCATGACTCCGCATGGTCTCCCCACAGCTGCCCGCGCAGCTCTCAGGAAGGGGGGGGGGGGGGGGGCTTGGAGCAGCTGTTTTTGGCTCACCCTGAACAGGCACCCTGGCCCACTCTGGCTTCCGGTTTGGCTGGGGGCAGGCCCCCAGTGCCCCCACTTTTGGGAAGGCTCCAATGCCCTTGCACAGGTTTCAGTGCAAAGCCAGAATTGAGCCCTATAAACATTTTAAAGTAATTTTTATAGACCCCCCCTTTTGATTTCATCCTTATTAAATTATGTAAGAATTCTCATTTTTGAAGAATTTTTTGGGCAAATTTCGAAGCCTCTCCTTTCCGGTGGAGGATTTCGTTGTGTGTTTCAACAAGACATAAAACAATCTCCCTCATTCAGAGTGTCCCTAAACGACAGTCCCTGCTCTTGATTTACAGGCCCCCACATTCCCGTGCAGAGGCGAACCTCCTGAGAAATCATCACTGGCATCACCACACTTTTTTACTCTCTGCAGCAGACAAGTACCTCATGCCCTGAGCAGCAGTTCCGCTTGTCACTCAGTTTCCATTCTCAATACACGCTGTTTACGAGAAAAAAGTTGCTTTTATTTTGTAGTGCGTTGCCATTTCCCCCCTCTCTGTAGGGTGACCAGACGTCCGGTTTTTAGACCCTTTTGAAGATGTCCCAACTATTCTTTTTAAAAATGGGCAAACTGTCCCATATTTTCTGCCGGTCCGCCCTCCAGTAGCGGGTCCTGCTGCCGGCTGGATCCCTACTCACCAGCTGCCTGCCCACCAGCGGTGGGGTGGGGAGTGGGGGTCCAGCGGCTGAGGGTGGGGCTGGGTGTGCAAGGCTGCTGGCGGGACAAAAATGCAGCGCGCGGGGCTGGCCGCTCCTGCCGGTCTGTCAGCGCAGCCCCTGCTGAATGCTGGCTCTTGGTCCGCAGGGCCCTGCCCCCGTCCCGTTTCCGGCTGTCGCTGGCTGCACGCTGTGAGCTGTGGTGGCTGCTGAGTGTCAGCAGGTGCCACACAGCGGCTGGTTATGTGTCACCTCTGCTACCCCCCCCATCATCCCTTTGCCTGCTCCTCCTCGCTCTTTCTAACAGGGGCTCAGTCCACTCCGTGTTAACTTGAACGTGTGCACTGCACCACTCTGATTGCTTGCCGCTGAACTCACCTGAACAGGAGTCATTTTACCAGGTGTCTCAGACCCAGCACAGGGACGCGAACCACGGGCACCCCGCCGCTCCGCCGGGCGCGCTGGGTGCAAAGGCCTCCTTGCCCCTCCCCCCGCCCCGGCTTAGCGGCTCCGTAGCCCGGCCAGGCGCCCTCACCTCATCGAGGATCTGCTGCGTCTCCGGGGTAGCCGGCCGGACACCCGTCAGCCCGCCACACTGCATGATGGCGGCGACTGAGCGCCGAGTCCGCCTCCAGCCAGGCCGAAGCCACGTCGCCGGGAGCAAAGGTTCCGTCACGTGAGCTCAGCCCCGGGCTCCTATTGGGCGGGCTGGAGGAGAAGGTGGGCGCGACTCTGAGATGCCCGCTCCCGCGGCCTGACCAGGCTCCGGGCCGGGGCGTGTGACGGACAGGCGCGTCCCCAGCGAGCCCGCGCCCCCCCCTCCCCCCAGCCCCGCGAGCCCGCCCGCGCGCCTCCGCGGCGGAGGCTGGATCCCGCTGCTCTCCCGGGCTCTCGGGTGGGACTCGGGGCGCCAGCGCCTCCTCCCCGCTCAAGGAGCGCGGTGGGGGCCAGGGCGCGGCCCCGTGGAGCGGGGACGAGGAAGCCCCGGGCAAGCGGGGGGAGCGTAGATCTCGGAGGCGCGCCGCACCGTCCTTTGAGCGGCGTTGGGAAGAGCCCTGAGCGCTCGCCCCTGGCTGCTGCCGCGCCCTGCGTGAGCCCGGGCGGGTGCACGAGAAGCGGCTCCAGGCAGCGGCAGCGCCCGGGGCAGGCATGGGCAGCACGACTGTCCCATGATCACAGCACTGAAGTGGGTCAGTGCGGCAGGTAAACAGCTGATGCTTCGGCATTGACCCCACGTTTAATTCACTCATTGTATATAAAAAGTGTATGCAGGTGGGGTGCACGCTTTAAGACCTCTTTCCACCTACCTTGTGCTGCAGGAGACAGGGAGACCAGCTACTTGCGCTGGGGTCTCTGTATTGTTGCCAACTTCTGGAAAAGTTTTGCAAGGGACACTTGGCCAAATATGTTGGGTTTCTGGGGTCACTGAAAGTTTTGTGTAAATTTTGAAGAGGTTTAAGATTCATAAACTTTATAAACGTTAACTACTTAATGGCCACAAGTCTGCTGTGGTGTTATGTCCATTTTACAGATGGGGAAATTGAGGCTCAAATAGATTATGGTTGACATTTTCAAACTTGGGTGTATAAAATCATGAATCTATCCATCCAAGTTGACCTGCTTTTCAGATGTGATGAGCATTTTCAGACCTCATTACTTTCAGTGGAAGTTGGGGTGCTCAGCATATCAGGATTTAAATGCTTAAGTTTAGGGACCCAGGTTTGAAGATTATGGGTAATGGATGCTGACCCCTATCTGCGCCTATCCTTGCAACAAAGCCCATTACCAACTCTGTCCACATATCGATTCAGGGGACACCATCATAGGGCCTAATCACATCAGCCACACTATCAGAGGCTCGTTCACCTGCACATCTACCAATGTGATATATGCCATCATGTGCCAGCAATGCCCCTCTGCCATGTACATTGGCGAAACCGGACAGTGTCTACACAAAAGAATGAATGGACACAAATCAGATGTCAAGATTTAACACATTCAAAACCAGTCAGAGAACACTTCAGTCTCCCTGGACACTCAATTTCAGACCTAAAAGTTGCAATTCTTCAACAAAAAAAACTTCAGAAACAGACTCCAACGAGAAACTGCAGAACTGGAATTAATTTGCAAACTGGACACCATTAAATTAGGATTGAATAAAGACTGGGAATGAATGAGTCATTACACAAACTAAAAACTATTTCCCCATGCTAATTTTCCCCCTACTGTTACTCACACCTTCTTGTCAACTGTTTGAAATGGGCCATCCTGATTATCACTACAAAATTTTTCCCCCTCCTGCTGATAATAGCCCACCTTAATTGATTGGGGGGAGGGATAGCTTAGTGGTTTGAGCATTGGCTTGCTAAACCCAGGGTTGTAAATTCAATCCTTGAGAGGGCTATGTAGAGATCTAGGGCAAAAATTGGGGATTGGTACTGCTTTGAGCAGGGGGTTGGACGAGATGACTTCCCAAGGTCCCTTCCAAACCTGATATTCTATGATTACTCTCATTAGAGTTGGTATGGCAACCCCCATTTTTTCCTCTGCCTTGATGGATCCTGAGCTTATTGGTGGATTTGCTTGCCTCAGAAGCTCATGGCAGCCCTCAGTTTGACCATTTTCATGGCTCAAATCTGCCATTCACTCAGGTAGTCTCATCACTGGCCAGCACGGGGAAAAGAAAGAACAATCCCCACAGTCTCTGCTGATCCACCAGGTGGAGCAGGGAACAGACCAGAGACCTTCCCCGCTGGTGGAACCCACAGTCGAGGTCAACTCCTCCGGTATCGAGTTGGGGGGATGGAGGGAACCCAGGCCCGCCCTCTACTCTGGGTTCCAGCCCAGGGCCCTGTGGATTACAGCTGTCTACAGTGGCTCCTGTAACAGCTGTGTTACAGCTACAACTCCCTGGGCTACTTCCCCATGGCATCCTTCCAACACCTTCTTTATTCTCACCACAGGACCTTCCTCCTGATGTCTGATAATGCTTGTACTTCTCAGTCTTCCACTAGTACGCCTTCTCACTTTCAACTTCTTGCACCTCTTGTTCCCAGCTCCTCGCACGCACACCACAAACTGAAGTGAGCTCCTTTTTAAACCGAGGTGCCCTGATTAGCCTGCCTGTCTTAATAACAGGTTTCAGAGTAACAGCCGTGTTAGCTTGTATTCGCAAAAAGAAAAGGAGTACTTGGGGCACCTTAGAGACTAACCAATCTAGACTAACACGGCTGCTACTCTGAAACCTGTCATTATGCAAGTCACTGCATTTAGCCGTACGGAGTGGAAATCTTGTCTTAATAGATTCTAGCAGCTTCTAGATTGGCTGCAGGTGTTCTAATCAGCCTGTCTGCCTTAATTGTTTCCAGAAAGTTCCGTCCCTGTTGGGAAACGGAATGTCCTCTGCTTGCTCCTCAGCTATCTGCTTTCTATTCTTTCCTAAAGCCCCCTGGCCCGGATTTTTCTTACTTTTTGCACCTGCCTTAGTCCCCGCCCGACCGGGCCAGACGCTTTTTTTTGTTTTCTTTTGATTTTTGTTTTTTTTTTCCGTTTACGTGCTGTCGGCCCTCAGCTCGCCGCCAGCACCCCCCCCCACACACCTGCTTTCGGGTGCAGCTATTTGCCTCAGCTGAGCCCCCGGAGGAGGGGGGGAAGATTGCCGATTTTGCTGTCCGGAGGGGGGAGTGGAAACCCCCAGACCCAGCCGTTTTGCTGGCAGCTCGGACTTTACAACATTCTCAGCATGCTGAAGGCGTTGGAACACAGCCAACACAGCTGGAGAAGAAGATTTCAGAAGACAGGAGAAATAATCCAGGAGAGCTATAAATCATCGTGAAGGGGGCCGTAAGACTGAGTAAGTTTCTGAATTATACTCTCGTGGGGGGGAGTTTGACTGTGGTTACTTACGTTTGTGGCGGCACAGGGGGTGTGGCGCCTATCCCCCCATCGTTACTACAACTGTCACGGCCCCCCCACCGTCTGCCCCTGCTGGCAACCTGCCATCTCCCTTTGGATCCAGCTGTTCGCTTTGAACTTTGCCTTCCGGACCAGACATAACAGCCGACCAACCGAGACTCCTTGAACAAACGTGTGTGGGTCTGCACCCCCCCCCCCGGATTGCTTATCCCACAGCTTGCCCCTGTTACTGGACCCCGATTTTGTTTCTTCCCCCCCCTCCCAGTCCAACCCCCTCGGCATTCCCCCCCCCCCGCCTGCAGCCTAGCGGGGAGGAGCGGCTAGTCCGCTTCTCCCCTCCCCCCTCCTCCTTCCGGTGTCTCCCTGTCTCTCCCTGCTCACAATGGCGGGGAATGAGAGGAGTGAGGCCGCTTCAACAAAATTAGTTGTCCCTCCCCCACCACCACCCCTGCCCGACCCCCAAGGTCCCCCCCACCACTATTGTCAAGATACTTGCCACCCCCCCCCCGCAGCAGGAGGCACCGAGGTGATCGCTGCTGCTGCTGCACCCACCGCCCCCCCAGATTCTAGGAAACCCCCCCCCAGTTGGCCGGAAGGGCCAGGGCGAGATGAAGGGAAAGGGCCCCGCTAAAACCACTAAGCCCTCCATGGCAGGGGCTGCCCCCACCGCTGTGGCCTCGTCATCAACCGTGGCACCCCTCCCTGCGTTTCCCTCCACCAGCTCTGCGATTGTCCCTTCTCCGGCCCCCAGGACGTATGCCCGGGCGGCAATGGGCTCCCCCCTGCCTGCCTCCTCGTCATCTCGCCCCCCCCGCCTCCGCCACTATCACCAGCGGCCGGGGCCCTTTCCCCACCTTGACCAGGAGGCACGGCGTCCGTTGCCTCCTGGTGCCCGCCTCGCCCCACGTGGAGACATACGTGCAGGCGTTAGCGGAGGTGGTAGGACCCACGGCTATTGTGGCGGCCTCCAAGATGTGTGGGAAGGTCGTTTTTTTCTTAGCTTCGGAGGATGCCGCCCAGGAGGCGGTGGAGAGGGGCCTGAAGGTGGGGGGGAGTGTTTGTCCCCCTAGAACCGTTAGAAGACCTGGGTGTTTGCCTCGTCCTCACCTCCGTTCCTCCCTTCTTACCCAATGCTGCCCTGTTACCCGCCCTCTCCACTCTGGGGAAACTTGTTTCTGTCATCAGCCCTCTCCCGTTGGGCTGCAAGGACCCCACCCTCCGTCACGTTTTTTTGTTCTGCCGGCAAGTGCAGCTTCTACCGCCGGCAGGGGCGCGTGATGAAGAGGCGCTCGAGGGGTCCTTTCTAGTCCCCTACCAGGGAGCCCGCTATCGGGTCTTTTACTCCACCGGAGAGGCCCGGTGCTACCTCTGCCGCTCAGCGGGGCATGTCCGCAGAGACTGCCCTTTGGCCCGGGGGGGAGGGGCACCCGAAACCCCCGAGACCCGGCAGGACATTGGCCCCGCCGCTGCCGACGCCCCTGGCAGCCCGGCGCCTGAAACCAACCCTCCTCCTACTCGACCCATCGCTACTCCCGTCCGGGCCCAAGAGATACCTTCCCTACAACGCCCGGGCAAGCAAGGGAGTTCCACCCTTGCTAGTACCAATTCAACAGAGCCCATGGAGGAGGGTGTGGCAAGGATATTACCGGGTATAGGAGAGGGCCCACCCCAAGGAGAAACCCCCGCCCCTCATGTTGCCTCACCGCTACCTCCCTGAACCATCGCCTCCGCCCCCCGACACGATCCCTGCTAACCAACGCCCAGATGACGCTATGGAGGGCTGGACCCTAGTCCAGGGGAAGTGAGGCAAGCGGAAGGCTCGAGCTCCGCTGCATCCACCCGACGCGGAAGCCCCCCGGAAGACCAGGAAAGGAGGCACTGCTATCGAGCCT